ACGCGTTCACCACTGGCTGTGCGTGAGGGACGGATAGCTACACCCCGCATCTAGTGGCTGCTGAGGTGTCCCTTGTTGCCTGGCAACAGCTCAGCTCGTTTTAACCCCTTTAAGTAAGTCTTAAGTGATTCAGCAGTCTGAGGCCAGTGACGGGTGGGCTGCTCCGAAAGTGACAGGACTTTATTACTTTCCGGGGTTTTATCGTTCAGCTCTGTGCTCAAAAAAACAAGGCGGTGTAAATCTGCTCCACTGTGTTTGACCCCTGACCTCTGCATGAAATGAGTCTTGGCAGAAACAGTCCGCATGACAAAGGCCCCATGACATCCACAGAAGCAGGAAGCTATTAGATCAAAGCTGCGATAAATACAAAGACCCGGTTTACATCTGGTATTAACATCCGTCTCACGTGATCCCATCACAAGTGGTCACCGCTTATACCGATCACTACTTGTGATCAGATTTTGTCGAGGGAAATCAGCATGTGATTTAAAGGGACAGTTCAGCCAAAAATTACAGTTCTGCCATCATTTATTTAACCTCGGGTCGCTCCAAATCCACATGACTTAAGGCCCCGATATACTTCAAACGAAATAGAATGAACTGATATGACGTAATTTCTAACAAAATCATGCCTAAACGAAGTCCGTTTTGAGTTTGTTTCGGCAGTTCGAAACAGCTGGCCAAAGTGAACTTTCTTGGGGAGTTCGTTTTGGCTCCTAAACACATTTGAGCTTCCACTGGTCCGTGGTGATTACGCAATTGGTGGGTGGGTTCGGGAACTCCACCTTCTTTGATGTGAGATTTTTTTTCCCCCGGTTCATTTCTCATTCCATGGAGGTCAGACAGGAGAACAACATCTAGAACAGCAACAACACCAAATGACTAGCAATATGAATACTGGAGTGTCGAATAGCTGAGCTGGTACCAATATATCCGCACCTGTACCATCGCTCACGGAGAGACTTTAAAGATTCGGAGAATTAAAATCCTAAAAAGAAATTGCAACGAAGCATGAGTTATGCAAAGCGACATGGAGAATCATCCGATGCAAGTTTTCCAAAGCTATGAAAAGAATGAAAGGAAAGGGTGGACCCGCAGGTGATGGAGATTTACCGCTGATTACAGAACCGGCTTTACTGATAAGATGCGCGTTAAATATCGCATGCGATTTATCGTGCAGCCCTAGTTTCAAATAAATGTTTTTACAGCATACTGCTGCTGCTGTCGTTTTTTCTGTAAGCGAATTTAAAAGGTATGCAATAAATGAAATGCCAAAAGAACATACAATAATTAACCTTTGTTTTTATCAAAATTAAATCATGACACCACATAAAATATAAAAAGGTGCAATAATTTACCCAGTTTAATCAAATAAAGTAACATGTTTGTTTTATTGAGATGACTAATATTTTTTTCACATCATGCTAAAGTTTTCAGACTAAAAAAAAAAAAAAAAGTTTTCAGACTATGAGCCATTCACATTTCCCATAAAGGACTGATAATGGAAATGGTATGGTTCTTTTGTATTGCAAACATGATACTTGACTCTGAACTGCTGCTAATCATTATTCTTTTGTCTATAATATTCTGACCATTGGTACCCGTCTCACACCTAGATACATTTCATCATTGCATCGTTGTGTTTAGGGCATACGCGCGAGCGGCACGACACATAATAATCTACACCCTGCCTCCAGCAGCACGGTGGTGTCGGAATGTTCGAATACAGTATACCGTAGCTCAGCCTTTTCAAATTTCTTTTTGCCCCCAAACGAAGAATGAACTTAATTTGAAGTATATTGGGGCCTTTACTTTCTTCTGTAGAACACAAAAGAAGGTATTTGTGACTTGTAAATGTTTATGACCATACAATGAAAGTCAATGGGGACCAAAGCGAAAAAGCGACACTGGACTCAATTTACTTTAATTATTTTGGGAAAAAAAATAAATAAAATGTTTTGTCCCCACAGCTGAAAAAAAATGCATACAGGGTGAATCACAAAAATAAAATATAATAATAAATGAATGAATAATAAATAAATGAATGTTCTTTTGCATTATTTAACTAATATA